GAGAGAGAGAGAGAGAGAGAGAAAGAGAGAGAGAGAGAGAGAGAGAAAGAGAGAGAGAGAGAGAGAACACACTACGGCCTATATAAACTATTATAATTATACATGCATAATGCATACATATATACACACATACATACATCATCATCATCTTCACCCGTAACAAAAGCGGGGGACACTCTTGTTGTAGGTCGTTAAAAGCAAATAGGTCAAAGTCTAGATAGATCTATGGCGAACAAACAAGTAATTACATCAAAAGGATAATCCTGTCCACACATTTCATGAGAACGGACACCCGGGAGTCCCCGTCACTATCTATCTACGTGTGTATAAATAGTTATACATGTATTATGACTATAATTCCGGCACCTTCTGTCGTGCTGTGGTCCAATATTTGCCACATGCGCCATCACCACAGGACGCCAATAAATATAGCGCAAACACAACCCTCTGCACGTAATTATTTTAGTAAGCGTTTTACGGCAGTTGCAATATAATAAGGTCACGTAATCGCCGAAGATTATAGGGGTTACAAGCGAGTAACAGAAACCAAAAGACCCCTTAGTTTTAGTAAGAGTTTTACGGCACTTGCAACACAATAAGGTCATATAAGTGCCGAAGATTGGAAAGAGGTGTTGCAAGAGAGTAACAAACACAAACAAGAAGGAGGGGAGATAAAGACGATAGAGGTTTGATAGGAAGGAAGAAGCAAACCACACCAGAGCACCCACCAAAAAAACCCCAAAAAACCCCCCAAAAACAACACAAAAAAAGGAGGAAAGATAAGGACGAAAGTTGAAAGAAAGAGCAAACCGCACCAGAGAACCAGCCAACCACCCACACCGTCAGCACTGATGGTTGTTTGAGTTTTTTTAAAAAAGCACAGGGACACGAAACTGTCAGTTAGTGCGGGAGAAAAAGCAATGGAGACAGGCAGAAACAATAAAGTGAAAGAGAAGAAGTAGGACCTACCAGTGGTGCCCCCAAACCACCAGCCGACAGCAGTAACAGAAGAGAGTTTTCATATATCTAATTACACTTCACAGACACACACACACACACACACACACACACACACACACACACACACACACACACACACACACACACACACACACACACACATGCACAGGCACTACACAATTATTATAAACATATACAAACACAAAAACAAACACCGTACCAGCACACAAATGCGCACATGCACACAGTAATAAAACTCTATATATCACACACAGCCAATAACAGAAAGGGAAAGGTCAAAATATAAATCCGCCCAAGGTTGCAGTGCATGCATGGAGGAAAACATCTTTAAAAAAAAATTAAAGACCGCGTCTGTGTTACCATTATGGAAACTTCATTGATTTCAAAAGTTGTGTCAGGTGGTGACTGAAGCAGACACAAAAGACAAACACACGCTCGGGGGCCAAGGGCGGGTGCAGGAGAGAGAGAGAGAGAGAGAGAG